TGTAATTGCTGTGATGATCTGATGTATTATTGATTATGAGAGTGGTATTTAATACCAACTCTAAAACAGAAAAGGTACACACGTAGCTACAAGTTAGCTAACCATCTCTCCACTATACAAGCCACTATGCACGATAATGAGCAGAAATAATTAATCTAAAGTAATATCCTTAACACGCCCCCGCAAGATGGAGGAGGGTACGACACCAATCTTGGAGCGAAGGAGCTGGTAGCGAGTGATGGGAAGTGGTTTCGTCAAGGAGTCAGCAAGCTGATGAGCAGTGGGAATGTGACGAACATAGAGAGAAGCAGACTGCACAAGATCACGAACAAAAAGGAAATAAAGAGCCAGGTGCTTCATACGGGAGTGATGAATGGGATTGGCTGAGAAGTTAACAGCGCCAAGATTGTCGCAGTAGAGGGTCGGTGGGGAGGAGACGGGCTGATGAAGTTCGACGAGGAGATTTTGGACCCACAAGAGCTCGGAGGTGGCATGAGCAAGCGCACGATATTCAGCTTCAGTGCTGGAGCGGGCGACCGACCGTTGCTTCTTCGATTTCCAGGAGATGAGATTACCACCATAGTAGATGAGGTAGGCCATGGTTGATGTACGATCGTCAGGGTCACCGGCCCAATCAGAGTCGGCGAAGGCAACTATAGATGGGGTGGTAGTCGGAGATAGACGTAGACCAAGGGAAGCAGTACCACATAGATATCGGAGAAGACGTTTAACATGTTGCCAATGAAGTTGTGTAGGGGCATGCATGAATTGTGACAGCTTGTTAACAGCAAAGGCGATGTCCGGGCGGGTACACAGAAGATACTGGAGAGAACCAAGCACCTGTTTGTAGAGTGTGACATCGGCGGGTGGGGAGCCATCAACAAGAGAGAGCTTCGCAGTGGCCGATAATGGCGTGGGCGCGGGATTAGAGTCAGCCATGTTGAAGCGCTGAAGAATATCCATGACATATTTATGTTGGGACAAGAAATACCCAGAGGAGGACGGCTGAACCTCAATACCCAGAAAGTAGCCAACCTGGCCGAGACTTTTAAGAGAAAACCGGGCAGCCAAGCGGGCCTGAAAACGCGCCAGAGAGGGACCATGGTTGCCGGTGAGGAGAAGATCATCCACATATACAAGAAAATACATAGTGACGCCCTCTTTGTGATAGATGAACAAGGACGCGTCGGATTTCGACTTGACGAACCCCTCCTGTTCAAGAAAACTGGATAAAGCCAGATACCAAGATCGGGGTGCCTGACGGAGCCCATAGATGGCTCGAGAGAGGCAGCACACGTAATCAGGATGCTGGGGGTCACGGAAACCCGGAGGCTGAGCAATGTACACTGTTTCATTGAGAGATCCCTGCATAAATGCGTTATTAACGTCGAACTGTAATATAGGCCACTGATGAGAAAGGGCGATAGTAAACACTGTTCGGATCGTGACCGGCTTGAGCACCGGACTGTATGTGTCATGGAAATCAATGCCCGGGCGCTGGGTGAAGCCCTTAGCGACGAGACGGGCCTTAAAGCGAGCAATGGAACCGTCAGGATTCCATTTAATCCAAAAGATCCAGCGGCAGTCCACAACGTTGTGGGACAAGGGGCGAGGTACGAGGGTCCAAGTATGATTGGACAGCAGGGCCTGAATTTCGGCACGCATAGCGGCATTCCATCGCGGATCGTTGAGAGCCTCCTTGACAGAACTCGGGATGATGGGATGAGTCACCTGCGAAACAAATAATTTTTTGGGTCTAAAAATCCCATGCTGGCTGCGGGTTAGTGGCCGTCGAGGAGCAGCCTTGGCTGGTGGAGGTGGCGGTTGAATTTGTTGGGAGGAGGAAGCGGCTGGGAGTGCAGCAGCTGGAGAGACCTGGGAACGTCCATGAGCAGGCGACGTGGGAGTGGGCTGGGAGGGCGACGGAGGACTGGGTGGACTGCTGGGCAAATGAAAAATGGAAACAGGAGGTGAAGTGAAGTCAATCCACGTGGGGGAATCATATACAACAGGGGAAGGAGAAGGGAGGCCCGGAAGAAGTGATTCCTCAAACCGAACATGACGCGAGGTGTAGGTGCGATGGGTGGAGGGATCGTAACATTTATAAGCACTTTGAGAGGGTGAATAGCCAAGGAAAAGACACCGACGAGAGCGGGGAGCCAGCTTGTGATCAGAATATGGGCGTAACCAGGGGTAGCAGACGCAACCAAACACACGAAGTTTGAGATAGTTGGGATGCTCGTTAAACAAGGAAAAATAGGGAGTAGAGCCATGGAGAGTGGTGGAGGGAAGACGGTTTATAAGATAGACGGAGGTTTGAAAGGCAGAGGACCAAAACCGGAGAGGAAGATTAGCAGTATGGAGAAGAGTGAGGCCGGTCTCAACAATGTGCCAATGTTTTCGTTCAGCCAGACCATTATGTTGGGGAGTGTGGGGAGGAGTGAGGAGATGGGTGATGCCATGGGTTTGAAGAAAGGAAAACAGCTTTTGAAACTCACCGCCGCCATCACTATAAATGCGGCGAATAGTGGTGTGGAAAAAAATTTCGATCATCGCTTTATAGGTGGTGAAAATGGTGGAAACATCAAATTTGCGGGACATAGGATAGAGCCATGTATAACGCGTGTAATGATCCACAATGACTAAGTAGTACGAAAAATTATCATGAGAAATAATGGGCGAAGGCCCCCAAACATCCATGTATAACAAATCAAATGGTCTGGTACTAGAGAGACTAGAAACCGAAAAAGGCAATCTGTGGATTTTATGGAAGAACAAGATTCACATGAAGAATGAGACAAAGCGGAGGTGATGTGAAGAGACTGTTTACGAATAACACGGGATAGGAGTTTGAGGTGAGGATGCCCCAGCCGGTGATGCCAGAGCGTAGGAGTGACCCTGGTAGCAGACAACGCCAGCCGAATAGGTTGAGACTCCCGTGGCAGCTCATAGACGTCACCCTTATTCTGGCCTCGAAGCAGCTGCGCCCCCGTGGCTAGATCCTTCACAACAAAACAATCAGAAAAGAATTCAACCGATACCGGATTAGTCTTGCATAACTGAGCAACCGAGAGTAGACGACGCTTAATAGCAGGAACACAGAGCACATTGGTGAGATTCAACCGTGACACAGGAGAAGATAAGTGAGAGGTGCCAACATGAGTAATAGCCAGACCTGACCCGTCGCCGATAAGAACCTCATCAGGACCTGTGTAATCGGAATAGAGGGAGAGTCCGCCAAGATCAGGTGTCATGTGATTGGTGGCGGCTGAATCCACCAACCAACCAGCATCAGAATGGTGAGTAGCAGTCGTGTGATGCACCTGGGGACGGCCGTGAAGGCGATAGCAGTCTTTGGCCGAGTGGCCGGGTTTGTCGCAGAATTGACACATGAGCTGGGGCCGACCGAGAAGGGAAGGCGTCGTCGGGCTGGACGAGTAGCCAGGAGATTGCCGAGAGGAGGATCCACGAGGAGAGTGTGGACTGGGAGTGCGACGCTGTGCATAATTATCATACCCATAGGAGAGCGGTGTGGGAGAGCTGCGACGGGGCTGGGCATGTGCACGGGAAGAGCCGTGCTGGAAATGAGAGCGGCCTCGAGAGGAAGAAAAAGCAGTGGTTGGTGCAGCTGGAACTTGCGTTGCAGCCAAGTCGGCCTCAAAATCAACGAGGCGGTCGTGCAGGTCTTCAAGTCTAATTGTAGTGTCCCGAGCTCGTATAGCAGCAGAGAGCTGTCCATATTCCTCTCGCAGGCCACGGAGGATGTGGAGAATCAGATCTTCAGGGGCCACAGGATCGTTGACGAGAGCTAGCTCCGCAGCGGTTGTGCGCATGGCCTGAAGGTAGACCAAGACTGGGCGGTTGCCTTGCTTTTCACGATTGAGTTTTTCCTTTAGATGGATGACTCGTTGCCTGGATTGGCTGGCAAACATTCGTTCCAAAATTGTTCAGGCTTCACGAGATGATTCAGCCGCTGAGACATAGGGTGCAATACCGGGAGAGACCGGAGCAAGAATAGCATGTAAGAGGAGTTGATCCTGTCGGAACCACTGGGTCCGAACGTCCGGAGTGGCCGTTGCTGCCGGCGCTGGATGTGTACCATCGAGAAATTTGAGGAGATCAAGACCGCGGAGAAGGGTGAACAGCTGGGCACGCCAAGTGGGAAAGTTATCTCCTGAGAGCTTGGCAGGAAGTTGAGACGCTGGATTCAGCGTGATGACAGTGTTGGTGTCGTCAAGGTTAATCACCGATTCGCCGGAGTGGCTGGTCGTGGTTGCGAGAGAAGAGAATCGGAGCAGAAGAGGAATATGGTTTGTCGTGTTGATTGAAGAGGAGAAAGAGATTTGGACTGAAGAGGTTGCGGAAGAAGAGGAAGAGATTTGGACGGAAGAAGTTGGGCGAGATTTGGGAAGATTTTTTTAGGTTAAGGAAATCAGAACTGCAGCTCTGATACCATGTAATTGTTGTGATGATCTGATGTATTATTGATTATGAGAGTGGTATTTAATACCAACTCTAAAATAGAAAAGGTACACATGTAGCTACAAGTTAGCTAACCATCTCTCCACTATACAAGCCACTATGCACGATAATGAGCAGAAATAATTAATCTAAAGTAATATCCTTAACATATTGTACGGATTGATGTTGGTCATCACTCATCACTGACTACTTTCTTCTATATGTTTTGTAATTTCTTTTGGATTATGTGATTTTCAGTAGTCCTTATTTCTGGTATTGATTATGTAAATTTTATATGGAGAAGCCACCAAGCCAACCACCGAGATACCATGACCGATCGCCGTAATATGCTGCTTGCCACCAGAACCCGTTCGCCGTCGCTAAAATCCGATAGCCAATTTCTATTAGACATAGACCCTTGTATTTATCAAATACATTTTTTTCACCTGACAATATCATTTGCCGACGGAAGAAAGCATGCGTCACGACCAGTACTGTAATAGAATTGGCAACAGTTGAACTCGTCTCCTCAAAGAACCCTTAGGAATTTTATTTACCAAAATCACACGTTATATAAATCCTCTATTCGAATGTAGCTCTTGACAGACAAGATCAAGGGAATGAATAGAAGAAGTGTTGAAACAGAAGAAAATTAAAGCAGTTGTATAACCTAACCGGATCATACATCCACTTGGGCTCCGAACCTCTCTGTTCGATCTCATCAGTTATTTTTTCAAGCCGAAAATTGGGGGATCTCATACCGCTCCCTACTGTCCTACTGTAAATCATCATTCTGGCACTAAGATTAGTTCGTACGAGGTACGAGAAGAGCCGGGCATCAAACTGTCAGGGGGTTATTGCTTAACGGTACTGGAAGCGCCTTCTTCTACTAGTTCAGGTCCAGAAGGCTGCTGTGGTGGAGGCTTTGGAGGTGCACTTTTCCACAAGTTCTTTGCGTATAAAGAACCAAAGACGATAACCTGGAAAAATGTACCGCCAGAGAAATTAGTACAACTGCAAGAGCAGAGTAATGAAAACGGGTTTCGAAAGAGACAAGGACTTACAGATCCGATCGCTTGCTCCCAACTAAGAGGGTGAGAGAACCACACACATGAGAGCAAGATGCTCGCCAGCTTTGAACACCAACGCAGCAGAATCAGAAAACTGCCAATTAAGTTAACAAAAGCTGCAATGTCGCGAATACAATTCGTGCCACCGTACCTGTCTTGTTGTCATTATGGCAGCGAATGCAAGAGCACCAAAGGTTCGAATTGTGTAGGAAATAAAGAATTGACTAGCAGTTGCTACCTAAAAGGAACAAATACAATTCTTTAGGTTTCAGCTCCCTCAGTGAGTTAAGCAAAACAGAAGCAGGCCGTGACCATATAAAAGTCGCATCATATTCTTCTGAGCAATATATAATGAAAGAGTCTGATACATAGGGTTGATATAATAAAAAACAGCGAAACACAAAGGAAAAGATTACTCGCTGTCGAAAGCAATCGTGATGGCGAGAAATGAAGTCTATGGCTAGCAGTAGATGTCCTTGTAGTATAAGACCTATAGCAGAAGCAACAGTTTATTTGCTAATTTTCACCACTGGATGCTCCAAAAGACATGAAAAAGCCATTCTATCAAACCAAAAAAAAAGGTTCTGTGCTCCAAGCATTAACGTTAATCTCACTGACATGATTCAGAAACATTTCCAAGCAATATAACTAAGCAACTCGGATGAATTGACATTTGTACAAAAAAAAATAAGAAACAATGCAAATAACACAACGGAAGATGCTGCAGCTAGTACATATAGCCATACAGCGGCCTAGAATAAGATTTTCAAGGGGAGGGAATGAGAGAGTGCATGAATGGGAAAGTCACCTGTGAAACTAAGAAAACAGGAACACAGTGTTGTGTAGAAGATTTGGTTGTGTATTTCCATTTCATAACCTTTGAATAGCTTGTCCTGGAATGTGCTTGTAAACCCATCAAGATCAATTTACAAAACCAAAATCCATATAGTACCGCAAGAACTGTACTTGAGAGGCTCCACCAAGTCCTGAGGATCTGAATCAGAATGCAACCCCAGATTTCGAGCTCAACATCAAACAGATGTGACTGGTGGAGGAAGTGCCTACATAACTCAGCTGCCTCTACAGACTACAATGTCAGAGATTTCAGATTGGGTAGAAGAGCATGTTTGAAATCTTTTTATAGTAGAGGGCCATAAAATACATATAACCAAAAGTAAATTGATAACTTAATGTTGAACATAGAGATGGATTAGAATCAATGGTACAGTGAAGAGAGCAGATACATTATACAGCAGGGAAAACAGAAATTGCATTTGGAAGGAACTTTCTTACGAGCTAATAAATAGAATGCGAAACCCAAACAGGTGGGGGCCAAACTAGGAAAGGCCTATTTGAGTTGGTACCATAGGATGACTCAATGGTGTCATCGCTCAGATGGTATATGCCCATATCATGACCACCATGCCTGTGCCTGAAGTGCGAGTTGAAATTGTCATCGGTGAAATAAATGCAGTTCGATTTCAGTCCCAAATTATCTTTGGTAGAGAGGCAAGCAGGGGAATTGGTACCTAAGAACAAAGCATAGTCACCAATGGTTTGAACCTGATCCCATTCATTTGTATCCTTGTTGAGTTTGTAAACTCTAAAATCAAATGTCCAATACATCCAAGGCGCCTGCAGCAACTCGTCGGAATCCCTGATGTACAACATACCTGCTGCATCCTCTTCATGACCATCAACTTCTTCTTCTTCTTCTTCTTCGAGAGGGCCTAGGCCATCCTCTTCCACACCTGCTATGTCCTCGGCAAGGCCATTATTATCAACTTCTTCTTCCTCTTCTTCTTGTCCTTGTCCTTGTCCTTGTCCTTCTACATGATGCACGTGAGGAATTGGGAATCCATTGTAAATACCTGCTGCATTCACTTCACTGTCATCATCATCCACTCCCAAGACGATATCTTCTTCCTCTGCCAGTCTCGACACAAACATCAGCTCGTCATCTGGACCCATAAGTAGGTAACTGTTCAGACAGACAATATCAGCTTCGGTAACCAAAAAGGATAGCTTGGGGATTGTAAGATCACAAATGAGAACCCTCCCCCTGTTATCATTGGCATAAAAATTACCCCCGCAGAATACTACGTTCGCAAAGCCAAACGGTTCGCCATTGGGTTGGGGAATCAATGTCCATTTGTCATCTCCCGGCTTGCAAAACGCTAATCGCGGCAGTTGGTCGCGAATACAGAGGGCCATCACAACACAGTCCTCTGAAGTGGGCTCAGCTGACATAGCAATCCTCTGCACATAGATAGACTCCAAATATCGCTTCCCTGCCACTACTTTGGAGCCGTCGGAACTCTGAAGCAGGTATTCTTCCCCCACTCGTTCTGGGCAGTAGTCCAACACCTCCGGAAATGTTGTGATCGGTGGGAGCGAAATCTGATCCCCTGAGAGAGGGTTGAACAACACAGGGGTTCTCTGCAACATAAACAGCCATCCAAATGCAGATCCCCGGCAAGTAGCTTCCTCTAAGCCTTCCCCAAAACTGATATGGTGACGCTGGTTGTGCGCCACATCCAGAAGAAGGCGGCATTCCTGGCTGACGCAACCACCACCAGCATCCTCGCCCTCATTACTATTGATGCTGCAGTAGGGCAATATCAGAGTGGGCGATGATTGACGGAACAGTAAAGGCAACTGCTGGGCGAGGCATCTCCTCCATGTCTTGCAAACAGCCCGAATACGGATTTTCTCCTTCAATAGGATTACCCGTTGGCCGATCTCTACCAATAGCTCCAATGGCAACTCGCTCCAATCATGTCCTGCTTTTGCTTTGTCTTCTTCCCTCGTCATCATCATTCTTGAAGAGACCACACAGAGATGAGATCTGGTTGAATTGAGAAAGGGATTCGAGTTCGGTCAATTTATAATGGTTATCCCCTCTGAATCCAGAACCAAAACAGAATAGGAGAACAGAGAAAGGGACAGCCGACTCCGACTCCGACTCCGACACGAACTATGATGGGATAAATGAACTACCTTTTGAAACAAAACATAGGCGGACCATCACGCCGGTAGAAAACAGTTGTAAACTAGTTACCTGCTCCACTCCCTCGCCGTCCGTCTGAGCGACGGACCACAGCGTATCAATCTTTCTCTCTTATTATCTCAACGTCCTCTGGTTGCCCAAAAGTGAAGTCTTTAGACCGATCAGAGTATGGGTTTTCTGTGCGATCCCAAGCTATCTCATCTCGATACTGAGAACTGAGAAGCCTCTTCAATCTCCACTCCCTAAGGTACGGCGGGGGAGTTGAGGATTATGTCCGAGATCCTCTCTGTCCCTAACCCTAAGAGATCAGGACGCGGGTTAATAACCATAATGTCACTCATTTCTGTTATATGTGCTCTATTAGTCATCCAAGTTGGATAGACGATAACCAAAGCATTGAAGTCAGAGATGGTAAAACCGTAAAATAACCCATCATCGACATTGCGAGTATCGAACAAAATTCGAATCGGTTTTGAGGGAAAAATTTGACCGATGTTATCTTTAAGTGGGGTTTTGCAGATCCGACAAAAATGGTAATAGATTTGGTCCAATTTTGATATTTGGGTTAATTGCATGGTTGGTCACTGAGATTATAAAGTACGTTCAAGTTTGGTCACTCTAAATATTTAAATCTATTAATGGTACTTCAGTTTATGCAAACTGTTCATGTTTGGTTACTCTCCGTCCAGTTCCGTTAACTTTAACTGATGTGGCAGTCAACTCTCAAAATTGACCGTTAACTTAGTGACGTGACAACTAAAAAATTATTAAAATAAAAAAATAAATTTTAATATTTTCCACCTCATTATTACATGTATTAAAAAATATAAATTAAAAAAACCTAATTTCTTTTCTCTTGTAACGCTAATACACTGTTGTCGTACCGATTTTTGTCGACTTCTCGTCCTTCTTCGCAGTTGCTGCTGAACTAATAGTAACTTCCACCGAAATAGGCGTTGTCGAGGGAGGAAGAACTGAAAAGAGAACTCGTTTCCCGCTTCTGGGTTGTATCCTTCTTCTTCTTCTTCTTCTTCTTGCTTTCCACCCTCTGTTTTTGGTTACTCTGTTTTTTCTAGTAGTAAGATAGGGTCAGGGGAGAAGCAGGGGACACTACAATCAGGATGATAGAGATGCTTACAAGACATCTGTTTCGGCTCAACCCCGGTCTTTTACTCGTCCTTGCAGACAGCGCATCGATTCATCTCGGAATTCAAGGCCTCGCCCGTGATCTTGACGGTAGGGAGGGCGTCGATGGCCGATTTCGAGGCGGGAGGGGTCGGCCAGCTGCTGGATCAGTTGCTCGAGGCCCGGGCCGATGAAGTGGTGGCCGGAGGAGGAGTAGCTTCGGAAGAACCTCTTGGACGGCGGCATGCGGGGGTCCATCTCGATGTAACTGGAGGCGGCCGAGTACTCGTCGGCGGAGGCGTCCAGTAGGGTTTCGAGAGAGGGTTTGAGGCTGGCGGCGAGCCAGCTGTAAAAGAAGCTCTCGATCGAGAGCGGCTGCTGCTGCTGAGAGGTTTCCATTTTTTTCAGAGAAAGAGGGGAAATTGGGAATTTGTTGGAAGTGAAGTGAATTCCTGGTTGGATTTGTGGGATTTGGTTTATATATAGAGAGAGGGGAACAGAGAGTCAGAGATTACGCAATTTATTATTTATTTTTGTGATATTTGGTATGTAGTGGGATGTGTACCAAAATTATGTGCATGTATGCAACACTATTGTTAGAACGAAATGAGAAAAACAACATACAAATTTTTATTTTTTATTTTTTATTTTTTAATGAATGTAATAATGAGGTGGAAAATATTATCATTTATTTTTTTATTTTTAATAATTTTTTAGTTGCCACGTCACTAAGTTAAAGGTCAACTTTGAGAGTTGACTGCCACATCAGTCAAAGTTAACGGAGTTGGACGGAGAGTGACCAAACGTGAACGGTTTGCGTAAAATGAAGTATCATCAATGGATTTAAGTATTTCGAGTGACCAAACTTAAACGTATTTTGTAATCTCAGTGACCAACCATGCAATTAACCCTTTGATATTTTAAGTATTCACACTGAACTCATCCAAATATTTGTTATAAATATGTTTTGCACTCACTCACTTAAACACCTTGTCATACATATTTATTGAATATTATAATTATCTCTTATACCTCAAATCTTACTCAATGTTACTAATTACTGCAAAATAATGTGATAAATATACTATAATTCACATTCACATTCTAAAAAAATTTATATTATATTAAGAACTTTATATATGAATTATGATTGTTCGGGGATGGTGTGAGTGGATTTTCTTTGAACCACATATAGGGTGGTTGCAGTGACCTCAAGGTGAGCTAGGGTGATTGACCCCGAGGTGGGCTAGGTGTGACACGCTAAAACACAACATCAAACTGCGACCAAGTGTAATCGCAGTCCGGAAAATGTAGTAACAGGCAAACTCTAATTGTCAACCCGGGGTCTAGATCTACTGCCTACTCCGTGTATATTTGTTATCTAGCAAACTAAGTTGAGTGATTGCTGATTTAAGTAAAAGCAGTAAGAAAACAGGAAACGATTCAGTTTTCTAAAGCAAAGGAAGAGTCACTCGGGAATGAGTCCCCCTAGCTCCTTAGTTAGGTCTCAGTTGTAATTACTTTTGGTTGCTTTACTGCTGATTATAATGCAGAAGATCCGACAGTAGCTTGGAATCTCTTAAGCTGACCAAGCCCTCTCTGTCAAACTACCCGGCAGACGACTAGTCTTCACCGGGATAGAACACTGAGGCAATGAACACAGAACTCCACTACTGGAATTAGATTCCAGTACAAAGCAGTGAATCGACTAACTCTCGTATAATCCATTCACTACTACCGATTGAAGAAGCTCTAACAACCTAATCAGATTCTATCTATCTCAGGTTGCAGCAGAAATCAATAAAAGATGATAAGACTTCAATTGACTCAATCAAAACACTTCAATCGATTATAATCAAGCAATATCACAATCCAAACGTAATTACAATCAAGATTCCTAACACATGGAACTAGGGTTCTTCATACCCAAGTGAGAGAAAGTTCCACTTCATAGAGAGAGAGGGAAACAGAATAAAAAGCAGTCATACTCACAACAATGGGAAGAATCTGCTCTGGGATGTCAATCTTCACTCCTGTGATGATCTCCAAGCTCGATTGATGAAACCCAGCTCCAAAATCACTTCTAGGATGTGTTCTTCGCACTTTCTCTCTCTAGGGCTCTGTTTTTTCTCCAAAAAGTCAATTCCCTCTCCTTTTGCTCGAAATTGGGTTAAAACCCAGAAATTCACGGCCACACGGCCGTGTGGCTTTCCCAGCTGCCCGTGTGAGTGTTCAAAACGTCGTGTTTCACTTAAGTGGCTTCAGGTGTGCTACACGGCCAAAACCACAAGGCCGTGTGGGTTTCCAGGCTGCCCGTGTGAGCTCCCTAGACTTTCCACACGGCCACAAGGGGTCCCTTACATGGCCAGTGTGGCTTGCCCGTGCAATTTGGTGTCACACGGCCGTGTGGGTTTTTAGGCGTGCCCGTGTGGCTTCCTCAGCTTCTCGCCAAACGTCCAATCTTCGTCCAATCGACCTCGAACTCGTTCCCAAACCTTCATTCACGTACTAGGACTTGAAATATCACAAACAAGAACAACCTAGAGTGAAATCAGCCTAAAACAAGAGAAATAAGACTCAAACGGTGTAAGAATGGTGGGCAAAAACATGTGTATATATCAAGTCATCAAGGTGACCCAAGGTGATTGACCCGGAGGTAGTCGGGTTGACCTCAGGTGACCTGTAGTGATCGATGAGAGTTTCTGATATGGACTATCTAGGTACACTTTCGTCAAATTAAAATTTTAAATTTGGGGTCCACCAACTATAATTAACATTCACATTCTAAGGAAAAATAGATTATATTAAGAACTTTATATATTATTGGTTGAGGATAGTGTGAGTGGATTTTCTCTTAACCACATATGAGGTGGTTTTGGTATGTCATATTACGTCTTCGTGTAGTTTTGATTATGGGAATGGTCATTATTTTAATATTGTGTTTCAGAATAATATATAGGAAAATCGGTCACACCTGATTCGTTGTCATTCCTAATTGAACCTTCTTTTTACAAAATTTCGTTGTTTGTGAAAAAGCAAGCGCCGAGGGGCGCCCTGGCCCATATTATTAATCACTTGGGATTCCTGAATTCTTATAGTATCACATATGGTCGAGAAATACAATAACTACCCCATATGATCACTAATTGAGCTACCAATAGGAGGGTAGGGAATAGGGATGGGAATGAGTTGACCAATTGGATTATTGGACTCAATTATCATGAACCCATCTAGGTATTGGGTTGGACTCAAATGGACTCATATTTATTTTTAATAGTTCTTTATTTAAGTTTGGATTTTGATTGGGTCTAATTTTAGTCAACTCATTTGGTCGAATGCAAATGAGTCTATATAATATTCATACGAAATAACAATATTGATAATCTAATTATTCATATTAAATCAATTCACACCTTCAATATTGGTGTTTCCAAATTCATGTTTGTTTTAAAATAATGAAAAAGGCAAAAGTCCGAGAAAATTACTTGTTTGACTTTGATCGAGTATGGGCCTATTTTTTCTGTATCTCGAAAGTATTTTTTTTCTTTTGTGAAACTTATCTCAAAGTATCTTTAAAATTAAAGCGCTTAATTATTTGATTTCGAATAAAAGGTTTGATTAAACTAAAATTGAATACTTAATTGATGTAAAGTGAAATTTATGACCATATTTAATGACTTAATTATCTAGTAAATGTGTACCATAAAAGAGGAAGGGAGGAGAAAGATATCACCTAATTACTTCTTCTTCTTAAATTCACGGATGGAATTTCATTGAAATCAAGTAACAAGTTGTTGGGATTTCTAGACTTATTATTAAGTTTAGGGTGCATTTTGTACTTTACGATCAAACCCGTGTTTCATGCTGTTAGGGTTGTTGGTCTCGTGTACTTAAGGGGGAGAGGCTTATACGCCTTCCTCAAGAACAGAAAACCTAAAAGAGTGAATAATAGCTCAGCCGAGAACTCACGTTCTCCGTGGACTAGTCTCGTTCTCACCGAACGAGAAAACCACGTAAATCTCGCGTTCTTTCTTCCGCATCTCAATTTCTACATGGCATCAGAGCTGTGATTAAATCCACGGCTAGTAATCATCATGTCAGGAGGTGACATCGCTGTTAGTTTCAACAACAGCAGCGGCGGTGGCAGCGCTAGTAGTGGCGCGACCCAACGACCGTCCCCGTTCATGCTCCACACCTCCGACAACCC